TTAACTGATTTACTTCGCGGTAATCCACGCAAACTGGAATGGAACGACGCCGCACGTACTGCATTTTCAGATATCAAAACGGCCCTAGCTCAAGCCACACTTCTCGTGCATCCTGACCCATCAGCCACGCTTAGTATAGCGGTTGATGCATCGGATTTCGCCTTAGGAGCCGTTATGCAACAGAATATCTCCGGTAGTTGGCAGCCCCTCGAATTTTTCTCACGACGCCTCACTCCCACGGAGACGAGATATAGCGCTTTTGGTCGCGAACTGCTAGCAGCCTACTGCGCCATCAAACATTTCCGGCACGCTGTAGAAGGTCGTAATTTCATCTTATTCACCGACCATAAGCCCTTGACGTATGCTCTGCATACCAAGTCTGACCGCTACTCACCACGAGAGTGCAGACATTTAGACTATATCTCCCAGTTCACGACAGACCTTCGTCACGTCAAAGGCGAGTCGAACTGTGTTGCTGATGCTTTATCACGTATCCAACTTAATGCAGTTACTTTGCCAGTGCTTGACCTACCTGCTATGGCCGCCGCCCAAGCAAACGATACTTCATGCACGGAAGCACAACAGTCTACGTCCCTTCAGTGTCGGGAAGTACCCCTAGCTACTAGCTCAGGTACTATCCTATGTGATACTTCTACGGGCCTCCCTCGACCCATCGTACCCTCCGCTTATCGCCGTCTCGTCTTTGATGCCCTTCATGGTTTATCTCATCCTGGTATCGCAGCCACATTACGTCTCATCGCTGCACGATACGTCTGGCCGTCCATGAATAAAGATGTCCGTATGTGGGTAAAGCAATGCTTACAATGTCAACGATCAAAAGTGCACAGGCACGTAGCTGCCCCTATTGGCACTTTCGCTACGCCTGATGCTCGCTTCGATCACGTTCACATAGACATTGTAGGACCATTACCACCATCGCACGGGTATGATCACATACTCACGTGCATTGATCGTTTCACAAGATGGCCCGAAGCTATTCCCATCACGTCTATTACGGCGGATACAGTTGCTCACCGCTTCGTAGAACGATGGATAGCTCTGTACGGTTGTCCCTCGACTGTCACGACTGACCGAGGACAACAATTTGAGTCCGCATTATTCTCCTCACTAACACGGCTGCTTGGTACGGAACGCATACGCACTACCGCCTACCATCCAGCATCAAACGGTTTAGTTGAACGGTTTCATCGCCAACTTAAAAGTGCTCTTCGAGCACACGAAAACAACAATTGGTACGAAACCCTACCGCTCGTCCTCCTGGGAATCAGAACGAGTCTAAAGGCAGATATTCAATGTTCCGCCGCTGAACTTGTTTACGGCACGACATTGCGTCTGCCTGGGGAATTTTTCACACCACGGAGCAGCACTAAGTTCGGCGAATCAGACTACGTCCAACGACTGTCTGCATTCATGCGAACACTGACTCCGGTGTCAACTCGTATACAACATCGACAGGTCGCTCTCCCTCGAGAGTTATCTACCTGTTCACATGTTTTCATACGAGTGGATTCGGTACGCAAACCTCTACAACAGCCTTACGAAGGACCTTTTCACGTGATTTCCCGTCACGAAAAGACCTTCAAGGTTGATCGACGTGGCCGCATCGAAACAGTCAGCATTGATCGTCTCAAGCCAGCACACGTCGATGACAGTGCTATACCTGATAAGCCGAGACCCAATGTTAGACCCATCAGAGCTTCTAGCGGGATTTCTACATCTACTTCGGATCCCACGCTAGATGCACCTGAGACCTCATTCTCACGTCCCAGTCAACAGCACGTGTCATCTGCCCCGTCTACGGACGAGACTTCCGTCTCACGTCCAGACCTGCAGACCACACCGCCCTTGACTGCGGATGAGATTGCAGGCTCACGAGGTTCGAACGAGACTACCGTCTCACGTTCTGGTCGCCGAGTACGCTGACCCGTACGCTTTCTCGACTAACCTCATAACCAACTACGGATGCAGTATAGGAATCTGCCCCTATACTACAAGAAAGCTACACTTTTCTCTTTTTCTATCATTTTTTTTTACCCCGAGCCTACGCCTCCGACCATCGCTGTTACGGTATCGTCGACTTCAGTCAACTTTCGCGAAAGCTGGCCTGATCACCCACGCTCTAGTCAACGCACTCAGTCGATCTCTCTGGCTCCAAATACGTATGATATACATTTGGTCCCGAACATGGTTATCCTGGTCGCATCTGGTTCCTTGGCTCAATCTGGTTTCGTCCTACGTCTGCAGCGTTTCTGGTCCGGACCTCTACGAACGCAACCTTCAGATTCTGGATACAAACCACTCTGGTGTAGCATGCTAATCCAAGCAATCAATACAGCACGTTCCTTCTGGTACCGTTCTACATCAAAGACTTTTGGTGGCAACTCGAGGATCAACGATCACTCCCTGTTCTGCCAACGTTTTCGTCCTACAATCGCACGTTTCGCGATCAGTCCCACGAATGAAACCGCTACGTATCGAAAGTGTAAATCCTTTCTAGCGGGGGGCTCCTGTAGTGACCGGCCAGTCTCGATAAGAACACGATTGGAATAATAGAAACAATTATTATTATTGTAACCAATTGTACCAGAGATTGTTTTACTGTATCAGACTCACTTCTTGTTCCATATACCGCCTGGTTTGGTTCGAGCTTGCTCACACACTGCTTGTTCGCTTGTACTCTTTGGCAAGTCACGGTATTATTTCGATACCACGAGATCGCCAACAATTATACTTGATCTGGACTAGTAAAGCCTTCTGATTTACGGGCTATCAAGGGAACCAAGTCATATTTGTACGCGTATTCGAATAGTAGTGTTGATCATAGTCCGCCCACGACTCGACATCCACTACAGTATCACCAATCAACAACACCACATACTCACACAAATATTCATTCGTTCATTCAAACTATTATTCGACCAATCGGTCAATCGATCGATCAATCCTTCAAACCATCAATCAACCATCCATTCATTCACTGAACTGTCGGTTCGTGTCGACTGGATTCATCAATCTCACTGGAACGGAACAGCTCTACACACTCGAGTGCACATCCATCAATCGGTTACGTTGCTTCCATCACCGTGATGTGCCCTCCGATTTATATTTATATATATGTATGAATATATATATTTATATATATATATATAAATCATGACTTCATCGTTCCATGTGTATTGTGGGTCGAATTGCACAACTCGGTTGAACAGGCGTTTCTGTACATGATGTTGGTTTATGGAGCAGTGTCAATGTGGGCATAATGAATCATATGAAGCATATTTTAGCAATGATTTTGGTATGAGTGCAAAACCGCTGAGCCCGACGTGATTCGAACACGCAGCCTTCTGATCTGGAGTCAGACGCGCTACCGTTGCGCCACGAGCTCACCTCGTCCCAACCACACATTCTTATTCTCACTAATACTCAACCACTCCTCCCTCAAACACATCATCCTCTATTCGTTGTCTATTCGTCCACTCACAATCCGCTTACAAATTGTCAATAGGCGAACGAGTATCAACACAATACACACATCACAATCAGTAAGCGCATCTACTCATTCGTTCATTACAGGACAACTGTACACAATAGCTAACCGTCCACACGACACAACCACACAAACCACCAAGCAAGTCGGCAAACAATCACATCCAAAATCAAACAACTATCCGACGAAAAGTATCACCAATCAACAACACCACATACTCACACAAATATTCATTCGTTCATTCAAACTATTATTCGACCAATCGGTCAATCGATCGATCAATCCTTCAAACCATCAATCAACCATCCATTCATTCACTGAACTGTCGGTTCGTGTCGACTGGATTCATCAATCTCACTGGAACTGAAGAGCTTTTAGCTGTAAATATTTCCTTAAATGCACTGGCTTTTTCAGTGTTCGACATTGTATTCTGACCACGTTGTTTAAGTGGACTTTTTTTACTGTAAGCTTTCGGTCAAGCATCCGCACCAGATCACATTGCAACACGGCGTATGACACAGCTCTTACGTCATAATAGCCAGTTAAGAACGAAGTCTCTCGATATATCGGCTACGTATCAAATATATCTTTCCTGTCTCTTCTGACTTCTGGTTTCTATTTGACTGGGAACGATCGAACACAGGTGCTACTGGTAGCTAGTTTTAAAACTAGAATATCCGTTGTATGATCAGTGGTGAGCCTAACGTGATCTGGTACACCAATCCAATATACTGTGAGTTTGTTCCTTTTTGGAATATTATTTTTCATTGTTATTCTTTATTTGAATTTTATATATTGTGATATACTTTTTTTCGCGAGTTTTTCCCGGATATATTTTAATTAGACATTTTTCGTTATCTAAATTACTATGACGGAACACTCTCCTAAGGTTCTTAAGTTAAAGTCTATTCCCCCTATTTTGATTCAGTTAACGCCATTTCGGCCAGACAATATGGAGTCCTGGTTCTGCTACGCAGAAGCTGAATTTTGCATGCACGGAATCACAGACTCGCGCACACGATTCCTCGCGGTAGTTAAGGCGTTACCGCGCGAGTTTAACAGGTACGTAACACCTAGTATGTTTACTAGTAATGTTTCGGAACCTTACGAAACTCTCAAACATTGGATTCTAAAGCGTGGAGGCCCAACCGACCGACAACGGTTAGACCAACTCCTCCATAACATCGACCTGCAACATGGTTCTGCTACAGATATGTTGCTTAGGATGAGAGAAGTGATAGGTCAAAGAACTTTCGATGATGTATTATACAGTAATATGGTAACAAAGTGAATGAACTTTCATAGTCATTGTAAATTCATGTATTTGAAAAAATGTAATTATGTATATTCACGGCTTCAGGAAATAAATCGTATAAAAAAATAATGAAATCTTTTTGAATTTATTGGAATTTCAGAAGCATTTTGTGGAAGAATTGTACATTTACTGAATGAGAACAGCAAACGTATTTAAATTAAAATCCAATAAATCATATCAATCCCAGGTTTTTTTCATAATATCAACATATTCAGTATCTTGAGCTTTATAATACATAATTATGCTCATGCCTTTTTGCCAATCAGGATGATAAGGTGCTAGCGGACTTAATACATCATATGCTATGCTTGAAAATTTACATAAAACATGACCTAGACAATCAAAATTATTGTGCGTATTGTATGGATGTATCAGATAATTTTTAACTTTATTCATTCGGTCACAGTTGCGAAATTCACTAGTATCACTTATATGTAATAATAGGAAAGAGGTAACTGAATAAACCAGTCGACCAAGTTGTAAACGATCTGACAACAACCAAGTTGTTCTCCAGTAGAATTCACTCAAACCACTAGCAATTACAATATTTACGAGAGAATCTTTAAAAACTTTGAAGTTCGTTTTATTATATTGATTACGACCACTCAAATTATCCAGTAATGAACTCAATGGTACTGTATGTATAAATCGAACACGAGAACAACATCGTGCTAAGTATAAACTGTCTTTATGACCAAATAATTTATAGTAAGAACAAGATTCTTGAAATTGTACATCCTCAACTGATTTCAATTGGATATTTTGTATAGGTTCATCAATCTGACAACAACGTAAATACATGATTAGAGCATCTAGTGCTGTAAGAAATAATGAGAAAAAGAAAGTAAATTAAAATAGGGAGCTTAAAATGATTGCATACACGACCAGAGCGAATAATTTTAAGATGACAGATGTAATTTGAAAATGTCTTCATTAAACTGTTAAACCATGGGATATCACTCACTGATAAATAATGCGTATAAAGAATAACTCTTCTGAATTCAAATTTACAGATATATTAATTTATCCAAAAGTTTACCAAATCAAATGATAGTTTACAAGTTATATCACACTAATATATGGAGCTCATAAAAACTCATTATTCTGAAAACCTATACAGGATAATCAAAATTTTTTGACATCTATAAAATCTAAACTGATATCCAATCATTAGGGTCTACACACAAAAAAGTGCTAATATGGAACAAAGCACTTGTGACGGTTGGTCATTTTATTAATATGGTTATTTACTAGTTATACATTATGATGACATAATATTATTAACTGGATGTTTTTAAAAGGTATAGAGAACAATAAAAGGCAACAAAGTGCATCTGAAACACCAGTTAATAAATGTAAAAGTGAAATTCCATATGAACTGTAACGTATTTAATAAATATGGGTCTATGTGCTCAGCTTTGCTGTTTAAATGAAGATTATTAATGCAACTTGATTCCTCAAACCAATGTAGTGACAGTTTGAACTAATGTTCTACTGGTCGAAAATCGGATGCTACAACTATTACGCAACCGCGTTACGGTACAACTAGTCAGTCAGCTACAACGTAGGACCAGACAAATATATGCATTAATCCAAGTTGCCATACCTCATTAGCACAACAAGATGAACACCAAATTCATAGAAGTAGTTAATTAAATAGTGACAATATATAAAAGAAAGGTTGTATATAAAGATGCAGTTCAAGAAGAAAGATATGAAACAATTTTAATTTTACAGTTTAAGGGAAGACAAAAGGTGTCTACACCTACTCCATTTTGATCGATTCTGAGTCATGTCATGTCAACCATTGGTTACGATAGTTAAGTAGACCTCAACCAAATGGCTTGCATCTACCAACATAGTTACCACTAGAAGTTAGTGACTTCAAGCACTGATACCATGTTTTGGTTTGGCTGCTCCAGACTCTCTTCCAACTGTCTCCAACACTAGTCAACATTGCGCGTCGTGGTAATAGATGTTCAGGCATACGTAACACGTGACCCAACCATCTCAGTTAATGAAGACTCACAACGATGGCCAGAACACTTTAAAGAACAGTTTAGCTGGCCTTCAGCTACTCTACAGTTATCCATCATTCCCAAACAGTCTGAATGGAACATTGAAGTAGGTCCCACGACTCTAGCTAAAGTTCAGATTAGTTTTATCCTTTTGAACTTCAGCTAGAGTCGTGGATATCCATGGGATAAGGTGAAGTATGCGATTTTAGGGTCGACATTATCTAACCTCACCCCTCCTTGTGGGAATACAACGTCGCTGTTATGCTAATTTTCTTAGGCAAACACCTTACTGCAGTTACACCTCTGTACAGTCAGTAGCACGACTTCGCCCTTGGATATTGGATTTGTTGCTTTTAGTCTTACCACTCTTCAACCGACCTGTCTGGCATGCTAGAACCTTGAGAAACTATTGTTCCAGCCAGTATAGCTCGATTGGTTCATCACGATAGGCAAGCCCGATCACCACGCCAAGGTAGCAGCAGTGGTCGGGATGGTATAGCTACGTGGTAGATTGAATAAACATACAAACAGAATGAATGTTAATCTCTCACGTAATGCAATTGTTCTAACCTTTAGTTGCTCGTATTTTTTGCAATAGATATGATAAGCGATTATTTGGTTTTTAGATTCATAATAAAAGGATACTAGTCATCGAGTTAATTTTCCCTCAACCCTAACACTTGTATGCAACTACAAATAAATCACAAGGCTAAAATACCGTTATGAGTTAAACCATTATAATAACTCCATACTAATATGTGTATTAGATATCTGGTTAACATGAATTATTGTATAGGTAGTCTATTTGTGAGAAATGAGATCCAAAAGCAAATTTACCAGTATCAACATCTGAATGAGCTTCAGTTTTGCCATACAGATTATCTGCAATTCGATTTATTAGCTTATCATCGTAGACTTGGAGGCATACGAAACAGTAACGGACCATAATAGGCTTTGATAGTTTATTATTGTTACATTCCTTCAATTTAACGGACGGAGGTAGTTTCTCAAATTGTATTGGTCCGCTTAAACAGTCAGACGAACAACAAATGAGTGATGTAATCTTTTTCTCCTAAACACAGATAATAATAAAACTACAGAATAAGTGAAATTACAAAGTGTAAATGAAAGCAAATATAACCACTAACCTATGAAGTCATTTATGGGATCGATAAGTCATAATTAAGAGATGTAGGCATAATGATATAACATATATATAATTAAAAGCCCATTTCCTGGACAATTAAATCACAACTGAAATTATGAAGTGCTAAGAACTGTTTGATGACACGGGTTTCTGTTATAACAATTATTCCTGAAATGAGTTTATAAATGAAATATTAATTTGTAAAAGTAGGATAGAAGACTTTATCTTAGATTTTTGGTATTTTGCTAATATCCTGGGACTTTATTTTGCATGACATATAAATATAAATATATATATATATATATATATATATATATATAATTTAATCAGTCCTTTTGATCTTATTGGTGTCTACGCTACATTATGCTGACACGTTTTTATACTAACTTTTAATTAATTTCATTTCTGTATTTCAAGCTATTTGTCGTTTTGGAATATTGCGACTTGTAAGCAGTAAATGAGGACTCAACAAAACAAAATGAATTAGTGCTATCCTGATGAAATTGTTGTTCTTTGACGTTAAAGTTAATAAAGGGAAGTATGTATACGAAAACTTAAAACAATTAGGTAAGATACATGGGATATTTTTAAATATCATCGCTACATCTGTTTTCTGATGCATCAGAAACCGGTTACGAAGCTACTGGTTTCCTAATATTTGAATATGATTCAGGTAGATCTTTGCTATAGGAAAAACTACGGTGGCTTCCCTAAAATTTGTTACTATCTGACACCTAAACTTGAAACAGGCAATGCTTGTAGTGAAACTGATGAGATAGTTGAATTAAAATAAAAGGAGACTACGATTAGAACTCGCTTCTTTACTGACTCAACTACTGTGTTAAATTATATTTTTAGTACAACTTCATATTTCAGAACATAAGTAGCTAATAGGATCAACTGTGCTCAAGAAAGGCCTGTGTCCCAATGGACGTATGTACCGCCCATAATAAATCTCACCGATATGGCATCTAGAGGAATTCACGTACGTGACTTGGATCGCATTCATTTTTCATCATCACCAAGACTTTTTACAACCAGTAAATGCCAAACGTAAAATTGTGAAAAGGACTAAATTCTGAATTTACCAGCCTATTAAGAAATGAATGCAACAGTTATGGTAGCTAGAACCTTAGTATTATCACTAGATACATTTAATTCGTATTTTTCACCGTGAAGCACGCTAAAACAGAATGAGGTTTGGTTTATCAAATTAGAAATGGATGTTATCAAAAGAGATATATGTGAAATTTGTTTGCTAGGAGTATATAGTTAACATCAAACAGAGACCATAGTGATCAGTATGTCAGAACGGCTATGAAAAGAATAAATAGTACCAATATCATTTCTGCGTGTCTTCACACGAAGTGTTTGAATAATAAAAGCACGGATGAACATACTGGCTTTGTGGGATGTGTTAATCTTGCTTTATTACTTTGATGTCTTATAGTGAATTGCGACACGATACTCAATAAATAAATTATATATACATAACAATATTCTTATTGTTCTGTTGTTCTATTTAAACTTGGATTAATTTGAATTTGGTTATTTATTCTTTGAAGAAGTGGCTTACACTGAGTCACGAAACGTCAGAAAATCTTATTTTTCTACTCATTGGAATATTACAAATATATTTATTTATAACAATCTACCTGTTGTATCCCGAAGAGAATTACGAATGGTAACTTTCGAGGACTATTTATTGATCAATACAATATGTATATTTCCTATTGTAATTAACCTAATCATATTCGTTTCCTCTTATCACTAACTTTATTTTGACCTTTGAACTATTATTATACGATTCTTGAGTTATTATCAGTTTATTGATTACTATTCACAGCCACACTCGGCTAAATATTGTACAAATGTTATTATCTATTTTATGGGTCGATATGGTTTGTTTGATTGGTATATAAACTCAGTATGTTTGAAATACAATGATTCATACCACTGAGGCTGTTATCGGTGTTTTGGACTTAACTGGTTGGGCTAGGCAGATCGCAGGACCGGTTAGCACTCTAGACTGCTCGTACGGTTTCGTGTCACTGTTCCAATCGACAATTCGCTGCTCTCTAATTGGCGGTCTCATCAAGTCACACATTAACTAGGCATCCACTCGGCCACAAGATATAACACTATTCCATGCTCAATTTATTCGAAATTATAAAATCAAAACTTGGTAATGATACCCATAATACTTGATGTTCAATAACATATGATTATTAATCGTTTTTTGAACATATGGTTCGAGTCACCATTTTGTTGTTGTGTTATAGTTTTTTAAACATCTATATGAATTTGTGACATTTAATTCAGTTAACAGTTATTATCATTACGTCTACGTCCATTGGACATTTGTACATTAGTAACAGTTTCTATTTTTGTGTGCCCAGCTCTCGTTCTGATAGGCTAGCTGTGACCATAGACAACCAAGGAACTGAGGTTTGAGAAATCTACTGCAGTACCGTTCTGTGGGCAAACTCTGCTTTTTAACATGGGATTTTACGTATCATTCAATCATATGGTTTGAAGTCAAGTGGATTTAAGTTACATTTTAAAATATCAGCAACTCGGTAATAAACTGTTAGGCTTTATAGTCAGTATCTGTTTAATTGTTACCTTATTAGAAAATATTGTCACTGAACTTTTACCCGATGACGGTTCCCAAAGTTTCATGTTAGAATTTGCCCAATAGTGAAATAAATATTGAGTATGTAATTTCACAGTCTTCAGATTATTTAAATACACAACAAGTATATTCATTCCGAAAAGAAAAGCTATTTATCTGAGTTGAAACTTCGGAACAACTTACTGGAAGTTTACCTAACCAAACTAACCATAGCCAGTCAGTCAGTTATCTATATCGTAGGAATAGAAATATATGTGCATTGGTTCAAGTTACCATACCTCATTGGCACAACAAGATGAACACCAAATTCATAGAAGCAGTTACTTCAATCGTAGTAAAAACGTTTCAAATAAGGATATGGTAAATGGAAAAAAATGAGTTCGTAGAAAATAATTTAAATCTCACGGTTCAAGGAAAAAAGAGCATACCAACATAGCTAACACTAGAAGTTAGTGACTTCAAGCACTGATACCATGTTTTGGTTTGGCTGCTCCAGACTCTCTTCCAACTGTCTCCAACACTAGTCAACATTGCGCGTCGTGGTAATAGATGTTCAGGCATACGTAACACGTGACCCAACCATCTCAGTTAATGAAGACTCACAACGATGGCCAGAACACTTTAAAGAACAGTTTAGCTGGCCTTCAGCTACTCTACAGTTATCCATCATTCCCAAACAGTCTGAATGGAACATTGAAGTAGGTCCCACGACTCTAGCTAAAGTTCAGATTAGTTTTATCCTTTTGAACTTCAGCTAGAGTCGTGGATATCCATGGGATAAGGTGAAGTATGCGATTTTAGGGTCGACATTATCTAACCTCACCCCTCCTTGTGGGAATACAACGTCGCTGTTATGCTAATTTTCTTAGGCAAACACCTTACTGCAGTTACACCTCTGTACAGTCAGTAGCACGACTTCGCCCTTGGATATTGGATTTGTTGCTTTTAGTCTTACCACTCTTCAACCGACCTGTCTGGCATGCTAGAACCTTGAGAAACTATTGTTCCAGCCAGTATAGCTCGATTGGTTCATCATGATAGGCAAGTCCGACCATCACGTCAAGGTAGCAGCAACAGTCGTGACCTTAACAAATACAAGATAAATGTTGAATAACTTCACATGAATCAATTAACGTATTGATTATTATAATAAGCCGAATTAAAGTGTACTCACACGGTTGATATCTACACATAAACTGCATTTACATTTGAAGTAATAGTTATTTGACAGATACGTTTGTCTTTCTTCAGTGGTTGTCATACAATCACAGTAACTAATATGGGGCTGTAAGATAAAAAAAGAAGACTGGAACTGAACAATAGGTACTTAAGAATAGGGAAATGCATTTTCTTTCCATAGGCATACTGATGAAAATAGCTACATAAAACTTCCATATTCGAGGAGTACGATACACTTTTTGCAATAAGAAGTAACCTGAACGATTTTTACAGAAACGTTAGTTATACTTATTATTATTAATGGCTTTATTCAATTTGTTCTTATCTGTTTACAAAGAATATATATCAAAGCATAGTCGTCATCAAAAGAAAATATGATACTTTACCAACAAATTGTGTTCTCGCGTTTCAATATTACTCACTTCATCACTGGACAGATTGTCACTTACTAGTGTTTTAACTGCCTTCATATGAAAACACAGGGATTAGAACCTGAAGTTTGATGACAATGACAATCAAATTTTCCCTCACCAACAGGTAAAATTAATACTAGAGATCAACTCATAAACTGTCACGAAACAACCATGCTTCCAGATATAGGCATAGTACAGCGTAATTATAATACACCGCTAACAACAGCTAGACCTTAGATCTCTTTTTAGATATCATGTATCCACTTAGTTTTGTCAGGTTTACTCGAGAAAATGTTGGTGTTTTAGAGCTATAAAAGCTAAATTAGAGAGTGGAAGGTAAAGACATGATAATTTATCCAAGAGTTTAATCAACTAACTGGCAGAAAGCCCGGAAACGATTGAACTTTGCTCAATAACCAATTTGAATTCGAAACAAACTATTTGATGACTGCATGGCACCCATGGCTTTAGTTAAAATTGTGAGCCGAATATACTACTGCAACCACTTACACTAAAAAAGATCTGGATCCTGATTTTCCAAATCTCGGTGCAAAAATATGCTTTTACACTGATAGTTTGCAATTAAGAACGAGGGTAAAACTAAATGACTCAACGAAAGACCGATACTTACTGGTGCCGAGCATACAGATGAAGCATATCTACATAGAATAAGTTGACGATTTGAAAATACGTACTGCAACTCAGGGACACAAGAATGATCCAGACGAGCAGCTCTATTCGTAATGTAATTAAGCCCAGAAACTAACCTTAAAAAAAGTGCAGGCCCAATATCCACACCATCTGGATCAGTGATCATGAAGCCATTTATTTGAATCTTTGAACAGTAAAGAAATGGGATCTAAATTACTTTACAAAATATTTGGAAAATAGTTTTTTCATTTGCAAACACTTCCCCACCCAAAAAGTCCCATAGGGTTAGTCTTATTGTATGATACTTCTCCATAAGATCGATATTCTTGCGTATTTCGTTTTCGTCTAAGAAAATACATCAGTACCTACGAGTATTTACGTGAGACAAGAGAATCGACAAGGCATTTCTGGTCCTTCAGACATAATAATAATAAGCATATTTCAGACAAACCTGCATACTGATAATCCTTAAAATAACACGGACAGGGGCTATCGGTAGGCGTCCACATTTAATATACTGTTTACATTCTCGTCTGTGCACGCGCCACATAAGAAGCTGACAGTCGCGGGAACAATAACGCATTAACTTGCAAGAAGAGCACAACCGAAGATTAGGAATGCTTTTCAAACACCCATCACAGTAATTCGATAGTTTATTGTTCAAAATGGAGTGTACGTAAGAAGTCTCCTCTGAGCAGACAACCCCCGTCAAACTCATTTCTAAATCAGAAGCATCCTGTTGTTGACCTTGCCGATTTGAACTCAAGTGAAAGAGCGGTGAAACTAGAAATACAGTTTTGGACGATAAATCCATTCATTGTTCAGTTTCAGTCTGGAAAGGACAGGAGGCTTGATGGCCTGTGTTAGTCCTGGCAGTGATGGTCTCTCAGCTGATCCAACTTTCTTTTGAAGGACTCGACGGATGGAGCCTCCTCTCTGCTCGCGCGCTATTTAAAAGGACAGTGGTATTGTTTCACGTTGAGTTTAATTCACTGTTTTGATCGTAAATTACGTATCAAAACTACCGTTTGCACTTTAATTGAATTTATTTCAGTTAACGTGACATTGTATTTGTGTGTTTTGATTCTGCTTTTGTGTATTTGCTGCATCAAAGCATTCTTGGTCGACTGAGGCTTGTTTATTTGATAAGGTTGTGATTTATCTTACATATCTACCTTGCCTATCATTTTGTTTTATTCTAAGATGGTCGGCTCTGTACACAAGTGTGGACAGCCATATTGCCTATTCCCCGTGGAAGAAGGGATGCAATGTGACGATTGTAAGAAGTGGTTTCATAAAATGTGCACCCGCTTAAGCCCTGCTGCTTATAAAAGGTGCTCGAAACCCAATTCTCATTGGCTCTGTATGTTTTGTTGCTCAAGTAAGACATTACTCATACAGGAAGCCATCAGCCTTCTAGCGTTAGCTAAAAAGGTCGAAGTAGGCCGTGCCGGCAACATAGATACTGATAATGAAGATTGTATCAGTGTCGTAAATGCTGCCATGGCAGGTACCAGACACCCAATTTCGCAACAGGAAGCAACAATTTGTACTCCGGTACAACCAATGAAAGCCATGCCATTAAGTACTGAGGGACCAGTCGCTTTAGCAGCGACTGAGGACCCGGCTAGAACCACTATCGTCCAGAATAGTTCCAATCTGGATGCTGAGAATAGTGGCAAATGGATTACGCGGAAACGCAAAAGAGACGGAAAAACACCCAAAGAAAGCGCGCGTATAGTCGGTAAGTCATCGTTGGACTCACGTCCTGAGCATCAGGCAACTCCGCTCAAGTCCATACGTAAGGAAATAATTAATACTGTTTTGGATGGAAATAGTCTAACTTCACCAAATGTTGTTGGGAGTAACTCGCTTGACCCACATGACACTGTCATAAAGAAAGCTAATAGCAAGAAGCCGGTAGCTAACCGGCAGGATCTGACATCACGGTCAAAGGCCGTGAACACGACGTTTAAGGCAGTTAAACAGATGCCTAGTGTAATCATCTGGAACTTGGCAGAATCGAAAGACACTGATCCCGCTAAGAGACATGCCCACGACCTGCAGTTAGTGGGATCTCTCATCAGAAATATACTGCCAGAGGAGGTCCCAGGGGTACATATCTCGAAAGTCATCAGACTTGGTAAGTATGTTGGAGACGAAACCCAACAGAGAAGGATCCTCAAATTAGTACTCGGTAATTTTGAGGAACGGGACGTATTACTAAATAACTCACGCAAAACTCGTGACTCAAACATTCGTATTCGACCTGACTGGCCACTTGAAGATCGGATCAAGTGGAAGAATGCCCTAACAGAGTTAAAAACTCGAAGGCTAAACGGTGAAGCGAACCTTACGATTAAGGGTTTTCGGGTAGTCAGGTCTTGGAAGCCAATGCTTCCGAGACCTGTGTGGGTAGAACGCATGTCTCCAAAAACACCCTAAATGTGTGTTATACGAATGCTCGTAGTCTTCGGAATAAGATGTCTGAACTAAGTTTGATGGTAGACGACTTAAATCCCGATATAATTGTTATCACCGAAACTTGGCTCACTGTAGATATAGACTGTTCTCCAGTCATTTCAGGCTACATCTGTGTCAGAAGTGATAGAGTTAGAAGTCGCAAGGGAGGAGGCATAATATTATATATTAGGGACCACTTCCGCATTAACTCGATAATATCGGAGGCGCATGTAAGTGGTACGTGTGAGGTAGTATGTTGTACAATTAGGTCTAGAAACGGGTTAGTGACGATAGGAGGAATATATCGTAGTCCGTGTTGTCTCGCTGACGACTTTATCCTAAAACACGTCTGTTCTTGGAGTAAAGCAGAATGTTGTGTCATCGTTGGAGATTTCAATGCACCCCATATAAACTGGATAGAGCTCACAGCTCCAGGTGGCGATTTCGATAGCGTTCTTCTGTCATCAATTATTCAATGTGCACTTGTACAATGTATCGTTAAGCCGACGCATATAGACTTGGAACATAATCCGTCATTGATACACCTTGTCCTCACACACCACTGTGAAGATATCGTCGACATTCAACACCTTCCCCCACTGGTGAATAGTGACCATGTCGTACTTTCCTTTAAGTTCCGGATACATGGTATAGAATTTGCATCAGCTCCACCCCGTCCTAATATCTGGAGAGCTAATATTCCGGCAATCAGGGACTATGCTATCTCAATTGACTGGTCGGTCGATGCTGATGGATCGATTGATGATGCATGGAATAGGTTTAAGTCTACGTTCGAATCCGTAACTCAGCCGTTTATCCCATGGTCAGCGCGTAAGTTATCATATTGCCCTCCATGGATTAATAAGGAAACCCGGAAGCTGTTGAAGCGTAGGAAACACTTCTGGGACTTATTCTTGTCAACAGGTCAGGCATCATTTAAGTGCGAATATAAAAAATCCGGAATATATGTAAAAAGACCATAGCTAAATCCCGCACGGCTTACGAACGACAGTTGGCATACGATAGCCGTACCTGTCCGAAGCGCCTGTTTTCGTACGTTAAAAGGCGGACGAAACGTAGTGATGGTATCCCCTCATTACTGCTAAGCGAAAATTCAGCTTTATTGGCTGAATCTGATCTGGCGAAAGCGGAGTTATTTGCTAACTATTTCAGTGAAGTCTACTCTACGTGTAGTGTTACAACTACTTGTCCCGTTGACAATGAGATACCAGCCATAGGACCCTTACACGTGACAGAGGATATAGTTCTTCCTTTGATAACTAACCTAAAACCTTGTAAGATACCGGGCCCCGATGGGTTACACCCACGTTTGCTGTCGTCGCTTGCGGACATTATCTCAAGACCGCTCACGATGCTCTTCAACATGTCCCTTTCACAGGCTCAACTACCTAGAGACTGGAAAGACGCCATAGTTAGTCCTATATTTAAGGATGGTCAGAGACGGATAGTATCTAACTACCGGCCTGTTAGCCTGACCAGTATAGTAGTTAAGTTACTTGAAAAATTAATTCGGGCTAAGCTACTGAGCCACATCGATTCGTACAATCTGTTAACTCCCGAGCAACATGGGTTTCGTAACAAGCATTCATGCTTGACTAACTTACTCATTGCGAGAGAGGATTGGACAGCTGCACTAGACAACGGCCAGTCTGTCGACGTGATATTTATAGATTTTAGCAAAGCTTTTGATAAGGTTTCACACTTAGGTCTTATGCAAAAGCTCTCGAGCTTTGGTATAACAGGTGCTATACAGGAATGGATAGGAAGCTTCTTATGTGACCGCAGACAGAGAGTGAGAGTCAATGGAACTCTATCCGAATGGAAACCGGTCAAAAGTGGTGTACCCCAAGGCACCATCTTGGGCCCTTTACTTTTCCTTCTGTATATTAATGAACTACCTTTAATACTTAAGTCGTCGACGTTATTGTTTGCGGATGATGTTAAAATCTGAAGAACAATAAGAAATGAGATTGATCGTTGTTATCTACAAGCAGATTTAGACGAATTAGTTAGGTGGGCTCATGATTGGGGCCTGGAAGTTAATTTCAGGAAGAGCGTGTTCATGCACATCGGGCACGATATTAGTTACCACTATACCATTAATGGTACATCTCTGCCACGCGTTCATACGCATAAAGACTTAGGAGTAATTATAAGTCACGACTTAAAAACTACTACGCACTGCAGTGCGGTTGCTTCCAAAGGCTATCGCGCGCTATGGTCGCTTCGCAGAGCATTTAAATGCTTTGACGAGGATATGTTTCGAATTTTATATCCCACCTATGTAAGGCCACACTTAGAATACTGTATCCAAGCAGCTAGCCCTTGTCTGATAAAGGATACTAAATCGCTTGAGCGTGTCCAGCGTGTAGGGACAAAATTAGTAGAGGGTCTTTCCAAACTCCCTTACGATGAGCGTTTAAAACGTCTAAATCTTTTCCCCTTATCTTATCGTAGGACGCGAGGTGACCTTATACTGGCATTTCGTATCTTTAATTATGATCTGGGTGTTAATATGTCTTACCTTTTTGCTCCCTTCAGCACTAATAATCTCCGGGGTCATAGCAAGAAGGTTCTGAAACCGCGATCTAATAAACTAAAGGTGAGGTCCCGTTTTTCTCATCGAGTGGTCAATGACTGGAACGCTTTACCAGAACAAGTGGTATCAGCACCATCAGTGAACATTTTCAAAAAGAAGCTGGACCTTCACTGGAAGGAAATCTGTCAGGATTAACACAGGTTCATCAACCTACTATCCTTATTACTGAAGACTGAAGACTGAAGACGTGCTGAGGTAATGAATTCCACTCGTTGATTATTCGATGGGAAAGTCGGTAGTCAGCTGACAAGTAATTCGTTCGGGGCTTGTGAACTTTTTTGGAGTGTCCTCGTAGATTTTCTGTTTTGGAAGACAAGAAAAATGAGGGCATATCAGGTGCAAATTTGTCATTAAGCAATTTGAAAACTGTAATCAAGTCGCCTCTGATTCTTCTATTTGACAGCGGGAATAGATTTAGCTTGGTCAGTCTAGTACCATACGGGAGCTTCGCTATTCCGGGAATCAGCCTAGTTGCTGTTCTCTGAACTCTTTCCAAGAGTTCACTGTCTTTTTTAGGCAGGGGTTAGCTGCTTGTATACAGTACTCAAGTTTAGGGCGTACGAACACTGTATACAAAGTCAAAAACGTTTTAGCGTCAAGATGCCTAAAAGCCCTGCGTATGGACCATAAAGTCTTAAAACCTTTGACGGCTATTGCACGGCAATGTGCAGTAGTCTTTAAGTCTTGACTAACGATGACGCCTAAGTCATTGTGTGCCTGGACAATAGGTA